CCTGGGTGTTGGGACACTAGTGTGTAGAAAGCATAGCTGTGTTATGTTGCAATATCCTGACTTTCCTTCTTCACTCTCCGTTGTTAATGTTTTGAACTAGAGAATAGGGGAAAATGGTGACAGTATAATTGTAAAAGGAAGGTAATGGTGTGGGTATGGATGTGCCTTCCACAAACCCTACACGACCTGTCTTGTCTTCCTAAAAGCCACACCTTATATCTTTGGTTGTACACATGTTCATACATGCTTGGACTGGTAGGTGAGGACATAAGTAGAATTAGTCAATCTTCCTGTACCCAAACAGTTGTGAGACATGTCTGTATCGAAACAGTCAAGATAGACAAAATGTGGCACACCAATAAAAATGAAAAAAATAAAAATAAATCAAAACATGAGCCCTGCTACAACTGTAAAAGTTGTATTTGCATTTGGACTAGATTTGGAATAAACCACATGCACCCAAATGTAAATTTAAAAGTGATAGGATAAAGAGTGAATTTTTAAAGGTAAGAAATTTTAAAGTTTTTGTGCAAGATAGAATAAACTAACCTGTATCTGGCACAAAGTGTTCAGTCCAGCATTCATCGTGCAACCCTGGGATACTGCTGTCCCTGTTTTACAGATGAGAGAATTAAGACACAGAGATTAAGCAGTTTGTCCAGGGACCCGAGGGATAATTGATTCAGCCAGGATTTGAACTCATGGGTTCTAATTCCAAGTGTTCTTTTTCTGATTTCTACACTGAATTAGAGTGTCTAATACTGATACTGCCATGTTTATTAACTGTACTTTTGGGTGTACCTGCTGTTGTCCTGACCTGGACACTATTTCCTAGGAAAACTGGTTCAGTATACTTGGAAGAGCCAATCAGGGGAACTTTAGGCATCGCTGTTTATCCCCTCCTTGAAAATAGAAAGAAAACCCAATCTTTGTTATAATTGCTCCTGCTTTCTGGTTTAGATGAAGTTCCATTTTCATGTTCTTAGATGGAGCATTGCATTCAAACATTAAAAAAAATTTTTTTAAAGAGTCTAAGTAAAAATGTGTGTGCATGTGGGCAAAAACCTGGAAGGCAACAAACAGAAACGCTAGTTATATTGGAGGCTTGTTTGTTTTTACTTATTTCATGTGCTTTTTGTATCTGTAGACAATTGTGAATCTCCAGATTCAGGACAACACAGTAGCATAAAAGCTATGACATAGAAGCCACAAAATCATGTTGAGACACAGAAGCAGGGTAACGACCAGCAACAAGGCCTAGTCAGTGGTTCTTTCTCAGAGTTGTCTGCTGTCTCCAGAGTCAACTCCTGTTGTCCTGTAACCATGAGGAAACAGCCCCAAACTGAGGGACATTCTGCAAAACAGCTAACTTGTACTCTTTAAAAATGTCAGCTATGAAAGACAAGTCTGAGTCTCTGAGAAACCTTTCTATATGAAAAGAGAAGAAAAAGACATGGTAACTAAGTGCACTGAGATCCTGAATTGGGTCTTAGATTAGGAAAGTAAATGTGATAAAGGACATTATTGGGATAACTGGCCAAATCTTAGTAAGGGCGAGCTGTGCATTAAGTACTGTATCAATGTTAAATTTCCTGAAGATAAATGTACTATGTTTAAGTAAAAGGGTGTTCTTAGGAGATGCAGAGTCAAGTACTTGGGAGGAAAGGATCATACTGTCTGCAGCTTACTCTCACGGATTCTGCAAAAACAAAGTGTGCGGCTAATGAAATGAAACACTACCCAGGTCTAATTCCTTACAGCCAGGCAAGGAAGAAATACATGTATGGTAGAGATGGCTTATTAGGCATGTATGTACAGAACTGTGGAGCCTGAAAAGCGACCTGGTCAGTTTTGTAGGGGTAGCCTGAAAAATGTCTTTATGGTCACTTTGACTAACCCTAGTGAGGGATTGGAGATGAGATTTTCTGGTGAGGGAGCTGATGCATGTGAGAGCTCATTGTGTTATGGCTTCAAGGTAGGGTATCAGAAAGGGCTGAGACGTGGACTGGGGCCATGTTCTGATGGCCTTGTACATCTTAACAAAGGAGTTTGAGCCGAAACCGGTTTGGCTCAGCGGTAGATCTTCGGTCTGTGGACTGAAAGGTCCCAGGTTCGATTCCGGTCAAGGGCATGTACGTTGGTTGCGGGCACATCCCCGGTAGGGTGTGTGCAAGAGGCAGCTGGTCAATGTTTCTCTCATCGACGTTTCTAGCTCTCTATCTCTCTCCCTTCCTCTCTGTAAAAAATCAATAAAATATATATATTTTTAAAAAAACAAAAAACAAAAACAAAAAAACAACAACAAAGGAGTTTGAATTATGTCCATAGACATGATGGAGATAATCAAGATGCCTTCAGCTGTGAGGAATATTAAACTCCAGCTAGAATGACTTAAATGGTAGGAAATGTATTTTCTCACGTAATAAGGAGTGTGGCTCTTCCCTGACCTGGTGGAGCAGAAGGTGCCATCATGGGAGTCAGTATCTGCCACAACAAAGACCAAAAGGTTCAATGCGAGGAGCCCAAGAGCTAGGACATCTACCTAAGGCTGTTGGTTAAGCTCTACAGGTTTCTGGCCAGTTTCAAACCAACTCCACCTTCAAGTGGTGCTGAAGAGGTTGTTTGTGAGTTGTACCAACTGGACTCCTGTGGCTTTCCCAGATGGTCCAGAATATGAAGCTTCCTGGCCAGGAGGGCAAAACCACTGTGGCTGTAGGGACTAGAACCTGTGATGTGTGTGTTCAGGAGGTGTCCAGACTGGAGGTGTATGCACTTCGTGTGAGCAGCTGCTCCTAGAGCCACATCCTCAGGGGAAGGTGGGGGGGCAAGATCCTCACCTTCGACCATCTGGCCCTGGACTCCCCCCCGAGGGATGCGATCTTGTTTTGCTTCTGGTCCTTGGAAGGGCCTCAGAGTGTACAGGCATTTGGGCAAGGCCCGAGGAATCCCTCACAGCCACACCAAACCCTACGTATGATCCAAGAGCCGGAAGTTCGAACACGCAAGAGGCTGACGGGCAAGCCATGGGTACAGAATGAACCCCAGGTCCTACCTTGTAATTAAAAAGATTCTGGATGATGGGGGAGGCAGGGAAGTTATAGGATTAGATAATTCAGCTCAGAGATGGCTTCATGAACCCAGGTGTTTGCATTTTTCGCGGCAGCCATCCTTAGTGTGTGAATGGTGTCTCCACTCCTGGTTGAAGAAGAGTTGCCACCGATCCGTAATGAAATCTAGTGAAAGGGGAATCTCTTTTTGAGCATCCTTTATTTTAGAAAGGAAAGCCTTTTCCAGAATTTTCTTGGCCAACTTGCCTTTGATTTCCTTAGCCAGGATTGTGTCACCTGCAAGGAGAAGATGATTGTGGTGTTTGGCTTCTCCAGTGGCTCTCCCTCCTGTGGCTAAAAGGTGTTACCCTTCCTGAGAAGAACCTCTGAGAAGCTAGCCAAAAGAGGTGGTTGTGTAAGCAGCCACCAGGGTCTGTCACCATAGAGAAAAAAATTTCTATAAGTGAATGGAAGAGGAGTGGCTGTGCTAAGTTTAAAAAAAAAAAAAAAAAAAAGCCACATGCATTCATTCCCATGACCACTTGACCAGGACAACTCTTTATTTCTGGCATATCACTCTCCAGTCATGCCCATATGCACATACTTTAGTTCTAATCTTACTCTAGGTGTCATTGTGCGTACAATTTCTATTGGTATGTTTTTATACACCATATAAGTATTTTTCTATCATAATTATTCTAATGTAGAATGCTTTGTATTTTATTGCAATTTATTAAACTTATTATTGGACAATAGTAATAATAAAGGCTAATACTTACTGAGCACTTATATATTTATTTATTTAGTCCTTACCACATTTTCTATTGGCGTATGATGGCCATTGTCACCTCAGTTTCCAGGTAAGAAAACTGAGGCTCAGAACGTCTAAGTAACTTAGGTGAGGTCACACAGCTAATTAGCGGGAGCTAGCAGCAGAGCTGGAGTTCAGATGCAGGCAGTCTGGGTCTATAGCCCTAGGTTAAACTACCTCTGGATATTGTTATCCCCCTTTTGATGTTAATAATACTATGATGAACATATTTCTACATATCTTGTCCTTGTACATGCATGCATAGCCAGGTTGTGGGTTGAAGAATGCATGGTCAATAAGGGACTAGAGATGACATATATAGACCACATGTTAGAGAAATGTTACTTTGAGAAAGGACCAGAAAAAAGGAGTTGCTTCCACTTTTTATGTTTGATTACCAGGAAGGATGATCTAATTTTTTTTTTTTTTTTTTTTTTACTGTTTAAATCTTACTTTGTGATATCTGCTTTTGTCCTTTGTGCATTTATACTTGGGAGTCAGGGTGCCTCTCATATTAATGTATGATTAACATTAACCCCTTTCATATGACACAAATATTAAACTCCTGTTTTCTTAAATTATTTTTGGTTTCTGTATATGTATTTATTTTCTACAGCTTCAACATTTTGAGGAACCTCATGTTCTGTTAAAGCTAGTTTGTGTTTGTTTTTTTTAATAACTTTTTAAATATGTAATTACTTTATATATTTAAATTAGGCTTTACTTTAATTTCCCCAAATTGCCATTTATCTAATCTAATGCTCCAATTGCTTTTTACACAATACATTCTTAAAAGCATTTTTATCTTATAATTCAGTTTCTTTTAACTCACCATTGTTTTTCTCTAATTTTTTTCGTGTTTGTCCCCATAACACATGATTTAATTTTGTTTGGAAATATGATAAAATCTAATAGGACTAGCTCTCTTCTCATCTCTGTTTAACCTTTTTCAGAATTTGAAAAATTTTTTCATGTTTTATTTTTTCAAATTAACTTTCAAATCATTTTGACATTACTCTTAAGACATGCTGGTGTTGTGTGTTACATATGCCTCTTTAGGTTAAGCTCATAGTAGCATATGACAGGTTGGAGAGCTATTATGGTTACTTAGTTTCTCATTTCCATTTCTGTTTAATTTCTAGATTTTGGACCATTGTTTGACTTGGAAAATGATCTTCCTGATGAGCTGATCCCCAATGGAGAATTAGGCCTTTTAAACAGTGGGAACCTTGTTCCAGATGCTGCTTCCAAACATAAACAACTGTCGGAGCTTCTGCGCGGAGGCAGCGGCTCTAGTATCAACCCAGGAATAGGAAATGTGAGCGCCAGCAGCCCTGTGCAGCAAGGCCTTGGTGGCCAGGCTCAAGGACAGCCGAACAATGCGAACATGGCCAGTCTGGGTACTATGGGCAAGAGCCCTCTGAACCAGGGAGATTCTTCAGCCCCCAGCCTGCCCAAGCAGGCAGCCAGCACCTCTGGGCCCACTCCCCCTGCTTCCCAACCACTGAATCCGCAAGCACAAAAACAAGTGGGACTGGTAACTAGCAGCCCTGCCACGTCGCAGACGGGACCTGGGATCTGCATGAATGCTAACTTTAACCAGACCCACCCAGGCCTCCTCAATAGTAACTCTGGCCATAGTTTATTGAACCAGGCCCAGCAGGGGCAGGCGCAAGTCATGAATGGATCTCTGGGGACTGCTGGCAGAGGAAGGGGAGCTGGAATACCGTACCCTGCTCCAGCCATGCAGGGGCCCACAAGTAGCGTGCTGGCTGAGACGTTAACACAAGTTTCGCCACAAATTCCCAGTCATGCGGGACTGAACACAGCACAGGCAGGAGGCATGAGCAAGGTAAGTGAGCGTCAGTGCTTTGAATGCTTCCTATTAATCAGTGGCTACTTCCTCCAAGTAACATGGTAAAATGGGGCCACGTGGAAAGTCTCCTCAGGCTTTCTTCTTGTCCCTCCTACTTGGAAGAAACAGGTTTGGTATCTGGAGACTTTTCCAGGATAAAGATCTCTGCTCCATGTTTTAAAAAGGGCAGTTCTTAAAGGAATCAAAAGTAGAATAGCATGCACATCAGGCATTTGAAAACATAGGGATATGTTTGAACTGATTGCCAGTTTTCAACCTCTGAAGAAAATGGGTGGAAATAGGAGCACATGGTTGAAAGAGGAACTTCTGCTGAGAATTGTTTGTATCAGTGAATCTGATAAAGGCTGTTTTACCTAGCTAGCTGAATTTTTACTCTATATACCCTTTCTTTTTTACCACCACCTGATAAAGTGTCTATTGTACCAGCAAAAAAGTTGTGTTCCAAGCTGGTCAGCTACTTGCCATGGTTAACATACCCAAACCACTGACCTAGAGACTTCTTTAAGCCTGGAGTCTGGAGTGCTGGGCCCACCCTCCGTTTCAGAGTCAGCAGCTAAATACTTCTAAGTAGCTCCCAGGTGATACTGATGGAGACCTCACTTTGAGAACTAGAGCTTTGAGTTTCCTCTGGTACCCAAGTGACTGCACTGCCGCCCCCCCCCCCCCCCCCCCCCCCCGGCTCTCAACACTACAGCAGTGGTTCTCCCACAGGTTGAGTCCCACAGGTTGAGAATCGCTAGCAGGGTCACTTAAGACCATCGGAAAACACAGATATTTACATTATGACTCATTAACAGTAGCAAAATTACAGAAATGAAGTAGCTGATTTCATTTTTGTCACTTAATGTCCCTCTGTTTACCCAGGTTTTTCATTCTGTCTTGGGACTTTTTCCTTCATATATATAGAGTGACCTTTCTTTCAAACAATACTTTGTAAGTGTGCACTATGTGGAAAGTAAATTACATTAGTCTTGTGAGGGTAGTCCTCTCTATTGCCTAGAAGTATCCCAAAGAGACCTATGGTGAAGAAAGGGCAAGGACTGTCTGTTTTGAAAGATTGTTGTGGCCTTTGGGTGAGACAAAAGAATTAATAGTGATGGGGCAAATGGTAAGAACAAGAGACAAGTCTATTTTAAGATATTCTTCTCTATAATGTAATGATAGTAGAGCCAACTAAGATTTTAAAATGCATACAAAGAAAAACTTTTTGGAAAGATAATTTTGTTTTAAAAATTATTACACAGGAAATGCATGTTTTCTATAAAATAATTCAAATGCATTTTTTTATAAATTAATAGGAGCAGCCACTCACACCTTATAGATAACTACTTCTATGTATATTTTTTAACACACATCCTTTTTAAATAACAAATGGAACCAAACTATATAAGCACCTTACTGTTTTACCTAACTGCATACATATAACATATATTCATATATCCATATGTCACAAATTTTTTCCTTCTTCTGATAGCAAAGTATCCTGTGTAATAAAAGTGTAATATGCTAAGTGTCCAACCGATCAGTTGACTGTTCAGTCAACCACTTGACCAGTTGCTATGACATGCACTCACCACCAGAGGGCAGACGCTCAGACCATTAGGTTAGCTTGCTGCTGGGGTCTGGCCGATTGTGACTGAGTGAGAGGGCTGGACACGCCTGGAGCCCTCCCGCAGTCCCGCCAGCCAGGCCAAGGGACCCTACCTGTGCACAAATTTGTGCATCAGGCCTCTAGTTTCATTATAGGATGCAACGTAATTTGTCTATCTACTCCTCTATGGTGAACATTTGTACAGTTTTTTATTTTATTCATTCAGAAAATGTTGCAATGAATATACTTGTTTAGGCATATCCACACACATCATGGGATTGATTCTGAAAAGTGAAGTTAATGAAGACTTTGTTAAAAGTTTTGTTTTTAGAAAGTAATCATATGCATGGTTTAATAACAAACATTCCCCCCTCTCTTCAATAGCTATTAAAAGTAGGAACTGAAAAGTTAATCTCTCTTATTGAGGATCTAGTCTTCAACCCAGATATGTGCCCTAGCTGGGAATCAAATCCGTGAGGACCTTGTTCATAGGTCGATGCTCAACCACCGAGCCATGCTGGCTGGGTGAAAAGTTAACCTCTCAATTCTTGATTTTGGTTCCCCCAAATTCTTTCACCAAACACAACTACTATTTCTTATCTATCCTTCAAGAGTGGTCTCTGCATATAGAGGTATAGTGAGGTGAGTGTGTAAATATTTCTCTTAAATATAAAGAGTAGTGTATAATAACCAATCTTCCCCTCCTTCCCTCCTCTCTCTGTGCATGTATATTGTGTGCATACATGCACCACCTTCCCACCATTTAACAATGTAAGATGGAAGTTATTCCACATTAGATAGAGCTCTCAGTCCTTTTACAAGACATGATGCAGTAGTAGTTTCTGATTTGGGTATATTATAATTTATAGGACTAGTGTCCCATTGGCTGGATACTTAGATTTATTTACAGTGTTTTGCTATTTGACAGTTTTGATTTGTGTTTACATCTTTGTACATCTGAGTGACTATATCTGCTGGATAAATTCTTAGGAATAAAATTTCTGGATTAAAGGATATTGACATTTAAAATAAGCATAGATATTGCCAAACACTCTCTAAAAACATTGTGCAAATTACACTTTCACCAGCAGCAAATGAGTCCTTGGCCCCCCAATTCTCACCAACAGTGATGTCATTCATTCTTTACTGATTTGCCATTCTCTTAGGCAAATTGTCTCTTAGGTAAAATGTCTCTTTATAAGTTATGGGCATTTGTATTTTGCTATTGATCACATGCTTTGTTTTTCTGATGCATTATTTTCCCTTTTTTTGTTGATTTAGATTCTTAATATTCTTTGTAGGGTAATGGTTTAAGCCTTTTAATAAATGCAAATTCTCCCTCCTTTTTTATTTGCTCAAGTCTGTTTTGCTAGGAATATGGTCACACATTTTTACAGTGGGATAGTTCTTATGATATGCTTTTATTAAATACAGTGAAACCTTGGTTCTCAAACTTAATTCGTTCTAGAACCGCTGTTCAAGAAGTGATTTGTTTGAAAATTGAATCATTTTCCCCCCATTACAAATAATGTAAATTGAATTAATCCGTTCCAAACCCCCAAATGATTCCCTGTTTTAACCTTTTTTATAAACAGTACTGTTTAATTTATAAACAAATACTTTTTAAATTTATCAAATCACCCCCTTACTAGCCTTAAATGAATCATTATCAGTGCTCCTTCCAGAGATGTCTTTTAGGAGGCCAGTATGCTGCATCTATGCCTCTGAAATCTGTCACCTTCTAACTGCTTTTTGTTTATCCAATCAACAGTTTTTCTACCTCTTCAGTTGCCTGTGATTATTGTTTCTTTCACACTATTAGCACTCTTGATGGCCTCTTTATGTTTTAAAATTGTGCTAATCATTGATTTAGCCAACAACAAAAGCATTCTCTCCCCTTTTTTGTTGCCTGAGCGATGCTTTTTTGTCATGCTGCGGTATTAGCATGAAAGTGTTGTCAGGTCAAAAACAAGTTTTGGTTGACTGCTGAGCCATTTTTTTCTGTGAACAACTTTGTGGAGAACTGAATTGTTCGAGATGGGAGATGTTCTAGAACGAGGTTTGATTATAGATGTTTTTTGTTTTTATAGAAACAGGCTTATCTATTTTTTTCCTTTATGGCTTCTAAGTTTTATGTCATGTTTAAAAATGTTTTCTCTATTACAGAATTATGAACTATTCTTGTGTATTTTTCCCTTGGATCTTTAACTCAGAATTTATTTTGGTTTCAGTGAGTTAATAAAGATCTAGGTGTATAATCTCCCCTCCCCCCCCCCAATTTATAGTCATCCTAGTACCATTTATTTAGCTATTGCTAATCCAACTCCCCTCCCTCCCCCCACTAATATGATACATCATTTTTGGTATATTTTATTTAGTTTTCACATCTTGAAGGTTTGGGCCTAATTCTGGACTTTTTGTTTCATTGGTGTTTTGCTTATTCTGTGCTGAAAACGTATTATCCTACCTGTATAATGAGTTTAATGTATAATGGGTCTCGTTGCCTTTTATTCTTTTTCAAATATTCAGTATTTTCTTTACCATTCCTCTAATATACTCTTCCAGATGTGTGGGTCTTAACCCTTATCTACACATCAGAATTACTTGCACATCGATATGTGATGCCTGAGCCTGGCCAGCATAGCTCAGTGGTTGTGTGTCGATCTATGAATCAGGAAGTCACAGTTCAATTCTCGTTCAGGACGCATGCCCGGGTTGCGGGCTCAATCCCCAGTGTGCAGTGTACAGGGGGCAGCCCGATCAATGGTTCTCTCTCTCTCTTTCAATCAATAAAAATATATTTTAAAAAATTATGATGCTTGAGCCCTAATCAGTTAGGTTCAGTGGATAGAGCATTGGCCTTCAGACTGAAGGTTTGATTCCTGTCAAGATCAAGTGTCCAACCAGTCGCTATGATTCACATTGACCACTAGGGGGCAGACACTTAAAGCAGGAGCTGCTGTGATGAACACAGAGGAATGGCACCGTGGACCTGGCTCCCACAAAGCAACACTCGGCTTCCCCCAAGTGGGACACAGGCTCCACTACCACCCCAAGCAACACCCCAACAAATTGCAGCCAACTCTGCCCAGACCCCATGGCGCAAAATGTGGTCCATAGCCCAGCCCAGCCTGGAAACAGTCGCTATGGGTGCCCAGTAATGATGACACTTAGCAATACCCGAATTCCTCTGCCTAGCAATGACTAGCCTCCTTGCAGTTTCTTCAGCCCAGGAACATGACTTGCTTTATAGCCAGATGGAAACATTTCACACTTTAACCAAATGTCTCTGAAGCGTTTTCCCATGCCTCATCTCATTTGATCCTCATAGAAGTCCTGGAGTAGGTAGATGGAAGACTCAGTGGAATCCCTGTTTTCTTTTCAT